AAAAAACTGTGAACTGTGTCTTTTTGCAGACGATATGATGTTATATGTAAGTGGAAAAGATTTAGACAGTATGTTGAAAAAAATTAATGAAGATCTGCAATCTATTAATGAATGGCTCTGTGATAATAGCTTAAGTGTAAATATTAACAAATCTAAATATTTAATTATTGGTAATAGGCAACAAACTCAAACTATTATTAATACGTACATTCATATTAATGGCGTGGAACTAGAAAGATTAAACCAAATTAAATACTTAGGAGTGATTTTAGATGAAAACCTTAGTTTTAAGAGTCATTGTGATTTTATTTTACGTAAATTGTCCAAAAAAATATATTTTTTAAATCGTATGTATATGTTAAGTCCGTATGTCAGAAAATTATTATACAACTCAATCTTTGTTCCACATATAAACTTTTGTTCGTCAATATTATATAATCTCAACCAAAATGAGTTGTCAAAAATACAAAAAATGCAAAACCGTGCCATGAGAGCGGTAATGAAATGTAACAGGTATACTCCCATCAAAATAATGTTGGATACAATGGGAATACTAAACATTAAACAAACCCTAATTTTTAGAATTTTAATTCTTGTCTTTAAAATACGACACAATATGGTCCCGAACTATTTAAATGAAAATGTTCAGTATGTAGCGAACGTACATGATCATGAAACCAGGATCCGAACCAATAACGATTTTTATGTAATAAAAAGCAATAAACATAGATCAAACAAACATATTTTTAAAAATGGTTTAATTTTATTTAATGAGTTGCCGAATGCAATAAAAAACTGTGATAAATATTATACATTTAAAATCCTTTTAAAGCAACATATAGCCGAAATGTTCTAATGTTACCTGTAACTATATATATGTATATGATTGTATTAAATTATTATTTTTATTATTTTTAACTATACACATGTACCTACCTACTTATCTGTAACTTGTTTTTCTGTACTTATACTTTATACAACTTTGTATTTTTATAGCAATGCTAATAAATATATATTATTATTATTAAAATTAGAGATGGGAAAATTCCCATTTAACGAAAATTCCCGGAAACTTTCCATCGAAAATTCCCGAAATTTTCCGAAAGTTTCAAAAAAAAATTTTTTATTGCGAAAATTTTTTTTTTATGCCAGGGATTTGCAAAAATATATAACACATTAACTTTTTGTCAAATTTTATTAAGAAAAAAAATAAAAAAAATGTTTATTAGAATGTAACTGCAATACTATTTTTAGTATCTTTTACTTTGGAATATTCCTATTATATACTGAAACCTACAAAATAAAAATAAAATGTTTACTACTAGAAATTCACTGCTAGTAAATCCTAGATATTAAGTAAAAAAAAATTAAAAGGGACAAAGTAACTAATATATAGGAATATTGAAAAGTAAAAAGTAAAGTAAAAAATAATTCCAAACACTAGATTTTTTTCTTGGCATTGTGCTATGCCTATAAATAAACAACAAAAATGTAAGAATGATTTTAACTTTGTTTATTGTTTTTATTTTGTTTACCTTTTTTTAAAAAAGTTTTTTGTGATGATGCTGTATAATCCGGCTTCATTGAGGTTATGTAACATAACTTACATTATTTATACTTCTTCTTCTGCTTTAAATTAACACACATTAAATTCTTATTCAAAGTTTCTTGGCCTTGTATCATGGCCTTAACGAAAATCAGCGGTTAAACAATTGACATTTAAATGAAAAAAACAAGGAAAGTTTCCAAGGAATGTTTCCAAGGAATGTTTCCAAGGAATGTTTCCGGTAGCTTAAAAGAAACTTTCAAAATGAAAATAAATTCCCAATTGGAAACTTTCCAAAACGGAAAGTTTCCATTTTAAGGAAACTTTCCGATTCCCATCTCTACTAAAAATTATCATATATTATATCACGAGAACTATGAATTTAATCTGTTAAACTAGGCTCAGTAGTTTTTTGTTTGATTTTTGTTGGAAAATGTTGAATGCAAAATAATTTAAATAATTAATTATTTTGCATGAAACTATTTTCCAAAAAGAAAAAACAAATAAAAAACTTACTGAGCATAGTTTGACAGATTAAATTTATAGGTTAACTCAATTGAGTGATATACGTCTAGATTATTTCTCGAATTAAAGGAAACTATTTAACAATTCATAAAATCTGACGTATGTGTCAAAATTTATAAATATTTTTTTAAAGAAAATTCCATTAATTTAAGGTATGTAATAAGTAATAATTGATATTTCGTAAACTAGATAACTTATTTTGTTTTTTAAAAAATGTTTGTTAAAACTTGTAAATAACACCATAAAATCGTAAACAAAAATTCAAAATGGAGGCTAAAATTTAATCGCTGTTAAATAGGTCTAGTGATTTAATCGCTTATTTAAACGAAATTTATTCGAAAATTCAAGGTTTTTAATTGGTTCATATTATACTGAGGGAAATAATAACTTTAAAATTTAAATAAATTTATTAAAGTTAATAGTTCTATCATTTAAATTACTCTTTACAAATTTAAACCAATGATTTTGCAGAATAAAATATTAAAACTACGATTTTTAAAAACCAATATTTTAAACTTTAACTTTTACAATTGCATTTTATATTTAAAATATTTTTTTATTCTCAATGGAGTTTAAAAAAATTTAACTTCTTAAGTATTTTGAAAAAATGTTTTATGTGTTTTTATTTTATGTCTTGACACTACAAAATTTAACTTTACCAATTGATTTAATTATACTTAAGAAATTATTTTTATTAAAAAAGGATAGTTAGAAATTTTTGTAAAAATTGTTTGGAAATAATACAGGGTGTTATGTAATAATAAATGTAATATATTAAAATACTGAATACCTTTTGACATAAGACAAAGATAAAGAAAAAATAGAAGTTTTTTTATATTTTTTGTGATACGCCACTGGTTACGCACTTGTGTTCTTTGAGTACATAGATACCAACGAACAAAGTAGCTGCGCGTTGCCAGTTGTTAAAAATTGTTACTAAAAATTTTTCTTGCAAAAAAATCAATAAATACAAAAGTTTTAGGCCCTTAAAGCTCTAATATCCTTCTGTATTTATTTACTCAGCCAGCTATTAGCTTAAGCAATTATTAGAAAAATTAGTAGGTACCTATTTTAAAAACGCCATAACCACAAAATTAATTTTTTCATCGGTTTTTTTTATTTCTGTTTACTCAGATGGAATTAGGACAAGTTCACAGGTTAAACTTTAAACATTCAATTTGTGTAAATAAATCCAAAGGCAGTTCCCTTAGGGGCCGTCCATAAATGAAATCACACACTTAGGGGGGAGGGGGGGGGGTCGTCGAAAATGTGACAGTTTGTGACAGCCGGTTTGGGAGGTTGCGATGTCACAAAATTATAAAAATATTTTGGAATTTAATTATTAATAATGGTTATAAACTGGATATTAAGATTTTATTTTAAGCAAAAATTTCGTGGTGTAGACCTTACATAAAAATTAAATCAGTGTGACGTGACGCCAATGGAGAGGGGGGGTCCCATAATTTGTGACACTTTGTGACAAGGGGGGGAGGGGGTTCAAAAATATTAAAAAAACGTGTGACATCTTTTATGGACGGCCCCTTACATATATTTTCAATTTGAAAGAAATGCATAGTCGTTCTGAAAAAAGCGTTCGATACAGTCAAATTAGAGTTACTTTTAAAAAAATTAGAAAAGAATGGTATTCAAGGACCAGCTATATTTCTTATGAGAACTTACCTCCATGACAGAAAACAGTATACAAGCACTAATAACTGCAGCAGTGACCCATTAATAGTGGAGACTGGCGTACCTCAGGGATCAGTTTAGGCCCTATACTGTATCTATTTTATGTAGAAAGCTTAACAAAAGCTGGTTTACTAGGAAAACACTACATGTTTGCAGATGATACAGCACTCTTGTACTATCATGAGGATATGAAAACAATGGAAAATATCATTAATGAAGACCTAAAAAGGTTCCATAATTGGCTTTGTTCAAATGGATTAATAGTGAATGAAATAAAAACAATTAAAAGTAAATCTTAAAATAAACAAATGAATATTTGACGGAGAGTTGCAGATTCCTTATACATAACTCATATATTAAATCAGTCTTAAGTTATCTCATATCAATATGGTCAAATACATCCCAACGAAATCTAAACCGAATGCAAAGACTGCAAAATAAAGCGCTAAAAGCAATTTTTAATCTACCGTTTGATACACCAACTAAAGACCTTTATAAATAATTACGGTAATGAATATTAAACAGTTAATTAGTTTCGAATTGTGCAAATTAGTATATAGAATAAAAAACAAAGACATTAAAACAAGTGCAAGTTTGAACATAAACTCGGATTTTCACAACTATGAAACTAGAGGAGCACAAAACATCAGAACAGACAAAGTTAGGACAAAAAAGGCTTCTGGAACAACAATACAACAGGGTGTTAAAATTTTCAACGATCTACCAAACTCGAATAAATCCTTACAAAAATATGTAAAATTTTTGAAAACATTGAAAAAGTACATTAAGGACAATTTATAATTAAGTTAAATTTAATCAAAATTTTTTGTTGTTACCGACCATAACATAATAAATTAAATTAGGCAACCAGATTAGCCCAAGGTTCCCAGTCGATCAGTGGCGTACTTTTTGGTAGGATAAAGGCTATATAAATTATTTTTAGTGTTTAGAAATAAAAAAAAAGTTTCAGGTGCTTCTTTATGGACCCCAAGGAAGTACCCATTTTAATATATTACATTAATTACATAACACCCTGTATTGATTAATACAGAAGTGAACTGTTAGTTGGTAATTTTGTTATGATAGTTGAAAATATTTTAAATTTATAAATGTAAACCTAAAATTTTTAGTTAGGAAAATTTGAAACCAACCAGATTTTAAATTAAAAAACTATTTTATAAATGTTAAAACGGCGTGCTATATAAAGCGCAGCTTCCTCTAACAATTTAAACAATTCGAGGTGTTTATGAAAGAGCCGTTCAATCTGATCCACAAATCGCCGGTGGGTATTTTGGAGAAGCGCCGCGGCGGCCACCCGATGCGTTTGACTTACTTCGTCTCTCCCTACGAGCTCTTGAATGTCGAACGCGGCGACATGGACGCCATCAGCGTGGAAAACGTCGTTTCCAAAAACATGGGGTACAGCGTCACCGTTTGCATGGAGGGAGCGGCTGCGCACAAGTTGCAAACCAGCACTTTGATTACCGTCAATAGGAGCCTCAACGGAAAAAAGTAAGTGAGATGCTGGTTTTAGCGAAGTTAGATCACAGGTTTTTGTAAATTTGACATCATTGTAAAATTTTATAAATTTAACAGTTACGGATTTCATTTATCGTGACATCTGCAGATGTTCAGAAAGGGTAGAATTGTTTTTAAATTTACATCCCTTAAATGATAGAAGAAGCAATAAATATAATAAGTCGCAATTATTACACAGTTCAACACGATTTTCCTCCCACGAAAATGTTTAAAAGATTTTAATAATAAAGCTTAAAAAATTGTACCTGTGTCTCACCGTTTCACGAAATCACGTCATTAAAATATAGATTTTTAATTCTCTATTTTGTTATAAATCATTTTTTTTCTTCAAATATTGTATGCTAGTACTTAATACAAAGATTATACTTAAGAAAATAATAATTTTTTTAAATAAAAAAAATATTTCTGGTTTTAATTTTTAATTTTTTTTAATAAAACAACAGATACCTATTCTTATATTAATATATATAAAAATATTAATTAAATAAATATATGTTGGAAACAAACCTTGATCTTTTAGTTTGAATATTATATATTGCTTTAGAATTTATAGTGGTATCACAACCTAAAAAATACTACTTCATATACAGGGTGTTTCACATTCGTGGTCCATTGAAAGTTTCTGGTTAAGGGAAAAAGATATTGATTTAAAACTTAAAAGTGTTTATAATCCAGTTAAGTATATTTTTTTTAAATATTTTGAACAAAATTTCACTTCCTGTTTGACCGGAAGTGACATCAACTTTGTTATTTCAAATAAAACACCCCATTTATTCTTACATTTTTAAATTTTACATTACTATACCATTTCCCATACCTAAAGTGAAGAGTTTTCGAGTTATTTATTCTTACATTTTTAAATTTTACATTACTATACCATTACCCATACCTAAAGTGAAGAGTTTTCGAATTATTAATTTTTTTCGTTAAAATTTGACAAATGCGCGACAATCAAAAATAGCCTATAACTTGTTTGCTATTAGGTTTACAGATATGGAGATGAAATTTTTGGAATCTTTAAACATTATTTAAAAGATTCCAAGTAAATTCTTTAACATTTTTTAACAAATTACCTTAGAAAACCCAGGCTTGAAACGTTAATAACTTTTTTATTTTAAATATAACACCTGGTCAAATAGCAAATTAAAAACTAAAACTATTTCATATATCCAAAGTTAATATTTTTAAAGATATTTAACAATTTCTAAAATTTTAAATATTATTTTGTACCAAGAAACCTGTGACGGTATCTATGGTAACCACGTAATCTGTCATTGTTCAAAATTTAATGGCGTCAATTTTTCAGGTTGTTAAAAACAATTTGTTGACTAATTAAGTTTTTTATAAAAAAAGTTACTGATAAAAAAAGTCAGTAAATTAATAAACACATTGAAAAGCCGAACGTTTTTTTTAAAATTTAATTTTGAAGAAAAAAAAGCTGTAGGATGTCAACTAGATGAAGCACTAACTCATTGGAGACAATAAAATATAAAATTTATTTTATGAAATATTTTAATAACAAAAAGAATGCATAACTGTAACAATTTAATAATCCAACAATATTTTAATTGACAATTTTTATTACTAAAAATGTTTAAAGTGTCCTCCATTTAAATTTGCATTTCTTAATTCTTACTTCTACATTAGATGTTGCTCTTTTTGACTATTCTGGGTCTTATTGTTAAATATCTCTAAAATTATTAAATTTATTTTTAGAGAATAATTACATCAATCGAAATGTTTTTTAATTTTATATTTGACTATGTAAAAATATACAGGGTGTTTCATTTAAAATAAAAAAGTTATAAACGTTTCAAGTTAGCCTAATTTGACCTGGGTTTTCTTAAGTAATTTGTTATATAATGTTAAAGAATCGACATGGGATCTTTGAAACAATGTTTTAAGATTCCAAACATTCCACCCCCATTTCCTCAAACATAGTGGCAAAAAAGTCATAGCCTTTTTTTGATTGACGCGCATTTGTCAAATTTTAACGAAAATTGATGACTTGAAAACTGTTCTAGGACATGGTACAGTAATTTTACTGAGAATTTTATGTATAATTTAAAAATGTAAAAATATATGGGGTATTATATTTAAAATAACAAAGTTGATGTCGCTCCCGGTCAAACCGGAAGTGGCATTTTGTTTAAAATATTTTATAAAAATAGGCTTAATTGGATTATAAACGCTTTAAAAATTTCAATTCGATATCTTTTGCCGTTCCTCAGAAACTTTCAATGGACCAGGAATGTAAAACACTTGTATTTCGTAAATGTGCATCACCCTATATACAGGGGGGTCCAGGATTAATCTGAAAAATTTTAATGATCGATAGAGCCTGAAAAAACAATAAAAACAAACCCAAAAACATTTTTCAAAAATGCATACTAACCGAGATATAGTCCTTCAAAATAATTTTTAAACCATTAAACCGATTCTTCTCAAATTTTGTGTAGGTTAAGCTTCCGTCGATAATATAATGAAAATTTTCTGCAAAAGGCCCAGTGGCGGAGATTTTGGGAGGGGTTTCCCCTTTTTACCCTCATATTTTCGACGCCACTGGATTTTATTAGAAAATCATCAGATTTATTTTTATCCTTTTTCAATCTAAAAGCAAAACTTTTATGTTTATTTTTTTTCAGATCAACGGAGATATTTTAGTTTAAAATTTCAAAAACACTGTGTACACGGAACTTTTGTTATTATTTTAGTAAAAAAAAATTTTTCTGAACGATTGTATTGGGCCAATAAAAATGTACCAATGAAATTATGGAATAATCACTTTCAATAGGGTGGTTTTTGGGTTGGTTTGATTTTGTATTATAATACAATTAAATTATTAATTACAGACGTTGATTGTAATCCTCAATCAACGTTACAATAAAACAACCTAAAAATATGACGGGATCAGTAACAACTGCACGATGACTCCTGACGCTAGTTTATTTTTATAATATTTTATAAACTGATAACGTGGCATAATTGTTACCAAGTTACCGATTTAAAATAAAATATGATACAATTCTGTGTACTCGGTGTTTTTGAAATTTTAAAGTCTCCGAAACCACTGATCTTATGATAAATTGAGTAAGAAATCTGATGATTTTCCAATAAAATCCAGTGGTATCGAAATATGGGGGTAAAAAGGCGAAACCCCCACAAAATATCCGCCACTGGGCCTTTTGTAAGACATTTTACCTAGGTACACAAAATTTCAGAAGAAGTTATTTAAAAAAAACGTTTTTTTTGCCTTTGAAGGGCTATTAGTATGTTAGTGTGTATTTTTAAAAAATGTTTTTGGGTTTGTTTTTATTGTTTTTTCAGGCTCTATCGATCATTAAAATTTTTCAGATTAATCCTGGACCACCCTGTATAATAGAAATGTTTTTAAAATAAATAAATAATTTTAATGGTTGTCCATTTATTTAGTGAATCAATTTTTTCTTAAAAAATGCCCAGTCTAGCTGTTATCGAAGCTGTTATATTATATGCTGAATACCGTGAATAATATTTTCTGGGATCCCACTTAAAAAAAAAATGTGATGTAAAAAAACGCAAATCATTTTTTTAAGTCTATTTTCAAAATCTATAGGAATTTTTCATGGAAGGAAAAAAATCAAATTTTGTTGTACTGTGTTATAGAAAAACTTTGCGGAATATAAAAAGGAAATGCGGATGTTCCGCGAATACATAAGTTTCATGTTACACCACTGTTACCAATTTAGTAACTGTTAAGTTTAATTCGTAAAATTTCACAACGATGCCATTTATCAATTATCATGCAAAAATGCTTATACATTCTTTGTGAATTTAAGTACCCCGTCAAACTCTCCATTGACCAACCAAAACAGCACCGTCATTCCGGCCTGTTTCGTCCTGAAGTTAAACAAACCGATGCCGATGTGCATCTCCTTGGTGCGAAAAATCCAACAGATATCGCAATGGACCGACATCGATAACCAACCGACGCAACCTCTGCTAAATTTGATCGTGCAACACAGCAGCGACGGCCAAATGGAGTGCTCCAACAGCAAGGGGCTCTTCGTGGTGAGAAAACAAAAAAAGTCGGTAACGTTGCCAATTTCGAGAAATTTGAAAACGTTGCATTTTTTTAAAATATGGCAACGCTCTAAAAGTAACCAATTTCGCAGCAATGTGACTTTTTGACTGATTTTCTTTTTTTGACTTTTGCTCGGATTTTTTATTCTTTTGATGTTTTTTTTAATTTTTGTTTGTTTTTTTACTTCCATTGACTTTCTGCATTTTTTTACTTCTTGTTCACTTATGCTTTTTTGCCTTTTTTATTTTTATTAACTTTTTTTGGCCGCTTTTCTTAATTTTTTTGACTGATTAATTTTTTTGGACTTTTTTTAATTTTCAAGTTATTCTTTACATTTTTCGGTCTTTAGACTTTTTGTTTTTTTGCTTTTCCCGCGATTTTTTTACTTTTTGTTGATGTTTTTAAACTTTGTTTTTGACTTTTTTACCTTTTTAAAACTTTTTGTTTTTTTGCATTTTTTGATGTTCTTTACTTTGTTTACCTTTTTCCATTCTTTTCTTTTTATGACTGCATAATTTTTAACTTCCTATTGCCTTTTTGACTGATTTTCTTTACTTTTTTTTGCATTTTTTGACTGCTTCTCTTTACTTTTTCTCCTTTTTCATTTTTTTTTACTTTTAATGAATGCACAATTTTTTACTTCTTATTGCCTTTTTTTACTTTTTGTTGATGTTTTTAAACTTTGTTTTTGACTTTTTTACCTTTTTAAAACCTTTTGTTTTTTTTGCATTTTTTGATGTTCTTTACTTTGTTTACCCTTTTCCATTCTTTTCTTTTTATGACTGCACAATTTTTAACTTCCTATTGCCTTTTTTGACTGATTTTCTTTACTTTTTTTTGCATTTTTTGACTGCTTCTCTTTACTTTTTCTCCTTTTTCATTTTTTTTTTTACTTTTTATGAATGCACAATTTTTTACTTCTTATTGCCTTTTTTTACTTAGTGTTTAAAACTTGCTTTTTTCTTTATTTTTGATACATTTTTGCATTTTTGATTTTTAAAACTTTTTTGACATTTTTGCATTTAATTTTATTTTTGAATTTTTTTGCATTTTTTGACTGATTTTCTTACTTTTGACTGTTGAGGTTTTTTATTTTTTGTTTGTTTTTTTTTACTTTCTCCGTCTTTCTGCAATGTTTTACTTCTTATATTAAATTTGAAAACGTTACATTTTTTGAAAATATGGCAACACTAAAAAATCACCAATTTGTCAACATTGGTAAAATTGACTTTTTGTGAGAAAATGCAAAAAATTATATTTGGCAACGTGACGAATTTCGAAAAATTTGGCAACGTTATATTTTTAAAAATTTGACAACACTTTAAAGGTTGACTAATTTGGCAACAATGTACATTTGTTGTATTTGTATTACAATTACATTTGCCTCTTTGTAGTAAGAAAATGAAAAAAAGTTAAATTTGGCAACGTTACATGTTTTGAAAATATAACATCACTAACAATTTACCAATTAGGCAACAATGTAACTATGGTAAATTTGACTTTGTGGTAAGACAAAATTACATTTGGCAACGTGATGAATTTCGAGAAATTTTGCATCGTTACTTTTTTGAAAATTTGGCAACACTGTAAAACGTGACTAATATCTTTTTAAATTAGCTCTTTTTGCCTCTTTTTGCCACAACGTCGCATTTGTGAAAATATGGCAACAATGCATTTTTTGAAAATATGCAACAATGCATTTTTGAAAATATGGCAGCACTGTAAAAGTTGACTTATTTGGCAACAATTTAGCTTTTTAAATTTTCCTCTTTGTGGTAAGAAAATTAAAAAAATTAAACGTTGCATTTTTGGAAATATGGCAATATCGTAAATTTGGCAACCTTGGAAGTTAAATTTTTCAACGTTTAGAATTTCGAGAAATGGCCACGTTGTATTTTTAAAAATGGCAGCACTGTAAAAGTTAACCAATTTGGCAACAATGTAATAAGAAAATAATAAAAAAAATTATTTGGCAACATTTTTGAGAACATAAGTAAAAGTTTGGTAAACTTGTCTGTGGTAAGAAAATGCAAAAAGTTTTGGATTTGGAACGTTGTCATGGCAAATTAAATTTCTAAAAAATTGTCAACGTTGCATTTTTAAAAATATGGCAACACTATAAAAGTAGGTCGATTTGGCTACAATGTAACTTTGGTAAATTGGTTGTCTGTGGAACGTTGCAATTTATGGATTTGACAATTAAATTTGTTCAAATCTGGCAACAATGTGCTTTCTGTGTTATTTTATAGTATTGTGGATTTTTAGACGTTGCCAGATCAAAACCACTGTTACTTCATGACGGATAACAAAAGCATGGAGGGTGTTTTGGTTGGCAGCATTCCTTTCACACATCCGGCCCATGTTGCCAATATTCTGATGATTTTGCGGGAACAGGCGTTGTTTAACACGATTATAAGTAGTTGCGTTCGACCTAAAAGCAGACAAGGTAAAATTTATATGTTATATTTTTGTTGTCGTGTTTACATTTGGCAACGTTTCACTCATAGATTTCGACAATATGACGATGTTCGAGGTGAGCGCTTTGTCGCCCACGCACATCTCTATTTCCCTGGAACACCCCCTGGAAGAGTCGATGTCAACGGCGGAAATGGATTTGACGGATATTTCGGCGCTGTGTTGCCGGATTCACCATCCCGGCACTCCGCCGCCGGCAAACGCGCCCGACGTTGCCAGCGATCTAAGCACTAGGATACTAAATAGGTACAAAAAAAATTTTAGATCGAGGTTAAAGGTTTTTATTTTTAAATTTTTTTAGATGTTTTTCTATACCAATTACTATGAGATCTGTGATAAAGTTGTGGGAAGGACAATCGCAAAGAAAATCTATTTATAATGGACATGAAAATTTTAGTTTACCCCTCGGTTCCGTCGACCCGGGAGGGAGCGGCGGAGGCGGTGGCAACGCCGGCCCGGCATCCGGCAACAGCGCCGCCGCCGGCCCTCTATCGGAATTTGGGGGGTTGAGCTCTGGCGGCGGCAACGCCGGAACGTCGGCGACGTCCTCTGGCGGCGGCGTTGCCGCGTTCACGAAGATCAAAGAGGAACCCGGTCTGTTGGGGGGTCAGGGGGGGTCGCTTTTGGGCGCCTCCATGCACCAGTCGGGATTTTTGAACGACGTCGTCATATCGCAGACAAATTTTTCCAATTTCCCACCTTCTGAAGGGGTAAGTTACCCACTTAGGAGTGTGAATTCCATAAATGCCTTTTTTACTTTACTTTTTTATGCTCTTTGATTTTTACAGTTATTTCGACTGATTTATTTAGTTTATTTGTGTTTTTTTTATTTTTTTTTTTTACTTTTTTTATTGTTTTGACTTTTCTAGCCTTTTGGTTTTACAGACTACGACTATTTTTTTTTTACTTTTTTTTAAATTTTCTGTACCATTTACGGTGCGCTTCGATAAAGTTTAACCAAAAACTTTAACCAAACACTTTAACCATGGAATGGTTTTGAACAAAGTTGGAAAAATTAAATCAGTTTTCTTTTTATTACTTAAGGATTACTTTTTCTACTGTTTTTGATTTTGTTATAACTTTGTTTTGGACTTTTTTCATTTTTTTTTTTTTATTTTTTAACGTAATATTTTCGGTTTAGTCTTTTTTACTTATTTTTTATTTTTTTACTTGTATTATTAAATCCACGTGTAATTTCGGTTGCTACATACATAATTTTTCTTAGTGATAATTAAAATGTTAAGCTGGGTTCTAACAGAGAAAGAACGTAATGTAATTTAATTTAACTTTAAAAGTAATTTAATTTAATTAACTTGCGTTCATACAAAAAGTAACGTACTGTCTGTCCACTCTAAGTTGGCGGAACTAAGGAATTTTGTAGTTTAGATATTAAAGAATTGTCGTACTGTGTGCTTTTAAAACAGATTTTATATTATAAATAATACTAGTACATATTATATACTAGTATTATTTATAATATAAAATCTGTTTTAAAAGCACACAGTACGACATGTCGTACTTTTAATATCGACATGTCGTACTTTTAATATCTAAACAACAAAATTCCTTAGTTCAGCCAACTTAGAGTGGACAGACAGTAATTTAATAGTTTTTGAAATTAAAAAGAATATTTTAAAGAGAGGGTTTACTTCATGTATCTAAAACTTAAAGTTTTAGATATATATGGGTGATTCTACAAAAGTTGGGCAACTTTTGACCTCATTTTGTTTATATAGTTTTCGGAGAAAATTTAACAGTATTTTGTTATGAGAACATAAATAATATAATAAATATACTGTTCCAGACCGGCCCAGTCACTTTTTCAAATAGTTTATGAAATGTGTTTTCTAAATTTGAATGCAAGGGAAGTGACAAGTATACCAGGGTACTAATTAAATACATAATTTATTAAAAAATATAAGATTTATTGCAACATTGAGCATATTATACATTAAATATCTTAAAATCAAATTATACCACTCATCAGTGGCGGCTGGTGGATTTTGGGTATACCGATATCTCAATTATTAGATACGGGACCGATACCAAATTTATATAAGTTTATAATGACATTAAATTAACAAGTTCTGCGGAATTAAGTATTTTACTGATATTTTTATTAGTGGATGCTACTTATCAACAAACTACTTATAGCCTTATTTAAATTACAATGAAATATATATACATAAGAAAATAACTACTCACCACGATACTGAAATTTTGACTGGAACTATACGTGCATTCACCACAACTTCGCCGTTTGCATTGTTTTCAAGATGACTGTGGTGCAAAGGGCGGGCTCTGTAGGTAATTTTTTACCAACACTTGTGTTAAAACGAGGTCTTGACGTTTAAATATCAATATTTCGCAGGAATTTTGAATTTTAATCCGTAACCGGTATGGTACGATTTTCAGGACATAAACCTTTTAAAATTGTTATTTATATTATTTTTTTATTTTTAGGGACTATATATAAAGTTAGAATATCACCAAAAATAATACCTAAATAAAAGAAAAATTTAAACAAATAGGTTTTAATCAAAACATGTACAAAAAGTGCAGTAGTGCAAACTTTGTGATTAAACTATAAAAAATATTAAACCAAACAAAATAAAACGATCTTTATTTCGAAGAATATACCTTAAAAAATAACATAAACAAAAAAAATTCTAATATATCTTTTTTAACAGCAAAAATAACTGCTTCAAACTATAGCTAATTTTTAAAAATATTTTTTCCATAGTAACTTTTTTCTTTTTTTTTCAAATTCTTAAAAAATTTCAAATTCTTTACTATATGACCCTATAAAATTATTTTCTATAGAATCTTCACAGAATCTTCAAGTCCTGAATCGCTGCTGTGATTATCTTCAACGACATAATCCCTATTATAATAATGGTTATGTAGTATACTACAGTCATCTATAGATGCTTATGCACTTATATCGCTGTCGATTTCATAAAACCACTATAGTACAGTTTCCTTGAAGCCCTTCTTATCACTTTGGACACATTTAGAAGGCCCTTGTTGCGAATCCATAACGAATTAATTGTTTTATAAAAATAACGTAAACAGTACGCAGTGGTCTAATGACACCTCAACACTTTGACTCCTAATAATTTGTCCGTTTGACAATCCAACCTGTTCAAAGTCTAAGAGCATATTGATAACTGCCTAACTTAAAAGTATTGGAAGCGACATATTTTTAAAACAAAAGGTGAGGGTGTGACAGCGCTTTGTTCGTTGATGAGTGTCTCCCAGACACCACAGTACCGGTTACGGGTTAATATTGGATACAGAACTGACTGGTAAAAGTGAGTACAAAGATTATCAATTTTTAAAAAATTCGAATCTATGATAAAATATGAAAAATACATTATTTAATGTTTTATAGTTTGTAGTGAAATTGAAAAATTTAAGATAAATTGAATATATTTTAAAATAAAATCACTCAAATATTTGATTCAGGAGTTGTGACATGCCAAGGTACTGATGTTTTGAAAATTTATTATGTTTTTCTACAAACGTGCTTTTGAAAAAATACATTAAAATTGGGTGGACAAGTTAAAAAAACCTGGATCTTTTGTAAAATATTAAAATATTTACAAAAAATATTAAAATACCTACTCTATTGACCGATGACATCAAGTTGTCCAACTTTATAGAATCACCCATAACTTTGTTTTGGACTTTTTTCATTTTCTTGTTTGATTTTTTAACGTAATATTTTCGGTTTAGTCTTTTTTATTTTTTGTTTCTTTTTTTACTTCTACTATTAAATCCACGTGTAATTTGGGTTGCTAACATTCATAATTTTTCTTAGTAATGATTAAAATTTTACTGTAATGTTTATTTAATTATTAAAAAAAATAATTGTTGTAATCAATGAACTATTGTTAACCCACCGTTCAGGTACTGTCCAACTTGGAGCTGGCAACCGGCGGCGACAAACCGCCGAAGCGGCAGAAGCGCAAAGCGACCGACGAGCCTTGGAAGGCGTCGTCTAACGCGAGCGCGAAGAAGAGGGTGGGAGCAACAACATCGACGGAAAGCAGCGCCAACGCTGAGCTGATGACGGAGTCGTCGTCGTCGTGCGACTCCACCTCGAGAAGTACCCCGATCTCGCAGGAGACCGACCCGACGCTCGCGACCGCCAACTGCGACTCGCCGCCGTCGGGCTTCCCGAGCGACCTCGAGCTCGAGAAGCCCGACGACGATTTCGACGTCGGCGACGAACCGAAACCGACGAGCTTCCGGGACGACTCGGACAGGAGCGGCCCGGACGAGAAGCCGACGTTGGCCTCCGGCCTCTCGATAATCCCCATACCGCCGTCTTCGGGCGCGGGCGGGTTCAACCCCGCCGCCGACAAGCGAACCGCCGACATCGAGATCATCCCCCTGCTGCCCAGCTCCATCACCATCACCCCCATATCGGCGACGGCGGGATCCGCCTCCAAAGGAAACGACGAGGGAAGAGGTGAGTCGATTGCGAATCGTAAAGATTAATTTTCACGTTTTACAGTTGGCAATTCTTTCGGCAATTGAAATCAAAATTGCTGTAGGCATGCGAGGTAGAGACATTTCGATGAAAGATTTTTTTGGCCGTTTAACGGCAATTCTGGGGTAATATATTGGTAACTTTTAAGACGCTGTTTGACTTAAACAGTTTAAGGTTATTTGTTTTATGATTGGCATTGGCAAAATACAAATAAAAGCAGCTTTTTGCTTTTTTCTAGTATCCATTTTACTAATTAATTTTTATATATCTACTATACAGGGTGTCTCAAAAGTCAAGGACAGCAGAAAAGGGGTGGATAGAGGATGGGATTTTAAGTCGAATAGTCTGCCGTTTTTTGATCACGCACCAATAATAAGTAATTAATAAAATAAAGTAGCCAATCACAGGCGTGCACTAGCAGAATAATTAGAGGTGGGCGACAAAACTTTTGTAGAAATTCCATGGCAATGATCGTATTATATTGTGAAATGACCTTAATTTTATTTTTTTACTGTCACTCAGGGGCGTAGCTACCGCGGTATCAGCCGTATCAATGATACGGGGCCCCCGTAGTCTGCTTTGCGTGTTATTATCATAGGTTATATTAATAGAAAATTAGAAATAATTATTAGCGTTATAATTATTTTAAATGACTTGCCTTTATTTTAAAATAGAAACCTTTCAAAACATGTTGAAGAACGGTAAATGTTTAAAACCAGACCAAATTTTAAAAAGCCATATCCACATTTATTATTTATTTAATTACAAAAAATTGGTAAATGCAAAAAAATGATACCCTAAAAATTTTTTTTTGTATGCCTAAATAGACTTGGGCGTGACACCCAGAATTTTTTTCGTAAGCAGCTTTTCCCGTATAATTTTTGATACGGGGCCATCTCGAGGCTTGCGCCACTGCTGTCACTGTCAGTGTTTTGGTTTTTAGGTTCAGGGGAAATGTTCATTTTTTTGTGTGGGACAAATAGACCTACCTTTTCTTTTTGTTATTTTTTTTAACTTGCGACTTAATAAATAAGTTAATATAAGGTTGATGGTGATATACTTTACTCTACTTTTTTTAAATAAATTATAATAATTATTTTATTAATATTAATACTAATTAATTTTAACATAATTATTTAATTTGAGATATTTGAACGAATATGAAATAATCACAATCCACACAACAAACCCTGTTTTATCTTGTTTCGCGCATACTAAAAATCACTGCAACACTACACAGAATCTAACGGCGGTCATTTTTATGTTTATACAGATTAAAAATCGATTTAAACGTTGTGTTTCTTACAGAGGCACTTGTAACCCTCAAATGAGGCCTTTAAGAACAACCATTTTAAACCTTATTCCATCGGGGCTGTCATTAAACTATCAAATTTAAATTTGTGGGTTATGGTAAATTAACCTTAAAATTGAAATTTGACAGTTTAATGAAAGCCCTGATAGAATAAGGTTTATTTTTACCAAAAGAGAAGTAAAACGGTTGTTCTTAGCACTTTTAGGCTTACAAGCGCCTCTGTTAGAAACACAGCGTTTAAAACGGTTATTAATCTGTATTAGGGCCACCAATTTTCTCTAAAAAAAGAATGTCTCAAGTTAAAACTAAAACACTGTCAGTGACAATAGGTGCTTTCCTTTCATTTTTGAAGTGAGCCAAGCAAAAGTGAGATAAGCGAGGCCACTCATCTTACCTAAAATAGACCAAAGGAACGGTTGGTAAGCCTATTTTCTCTAAAAGTGACACTTGACAGTTTAACCCTTAAGCCTAAATTATAGATTGCCTTCCTTCCTTCCTCCCGTAGTCGTGCCCGTACGGTACGGGAATCTATAACTGGCAATACGATTTAAATAAACATTTTTGACGTAATTGTCACCATTAACATTGCCCGTTATTAATTTTAATTAAACTTAACAATTATTAATAATTTAAAATATTAAAATTACTTAAAAATATGTTTTTGTTAAGAAAATATTTTATTCTTTGATTTTTTTTATTACTATAATTGCAAAATTTTATCACAAAGTATTAAAAATACCTAAACGGGAAATGTTAATGGTGACAATTAGGTAATGTTCATCTTCTACGGGAATAAGGAAGGAAGGAAGGCAATCTATAATTCAGGATTTATGTTCTGTGGTTTAATCATTTCCCTCAACGGTTTAACGCAAAGATTAAAGACTTAACGAACAAAATGTCGAATCAAATAATACAGGTAGTTAAAAATATAAATCCCTTTAATAAATACCTTTTTTTTATTCTTTAATTTTATAGAATGTAGTGAATGTAATATTCAGCAGCGATTCTGAAAATACTAGTTTAATCGTATCGTATCATCGTAATCGTAAATTACTATTTAAATAGTCATACCTACAATTGTAGGTATTCTAGTCGCCGAATGAATCATTCAATTTGAAATCCGAATGAAAATATGCGATTAATAATCGCGGATTACTTAATTCGAAAATAAACGGCGATTATTAATCGCATACTTTCATTCGAATTATCAATTCGATTAAATTATTCCGATATTGAAATCCGAATGAAAGTATGCGATTTATAATCGCCGATTATTTAATCGAATTATCATCCGATTATTGAAATAATCGTATAGGATATAATCGGTTATTGATATAATCCGATTATGCCCATCACTAATATTGTTTTAATTTTCTTCTGTTTTGTTTGATAGAAAGTGTACAACCTCACTTTTTGGCGTGCATCTATCCCCACCACCAAGTAATCAAAATTTCTTATTTGTAAGTGTGCTCCGGAGGTTGTGCTTGATCGGTAAGGGGGGAGGTAAAATTCTCACTTTGGCTTACCTGTCATTTTGCAAATGGAACGGTCTCTAAAGTGAGATAAACCAAGGTGAGGTAAGAATATCTAAGAATCGTGGCAAAAGGAAGCACCTATTAGGTGCTTTCCTTTTGCCACGATTCTTAGATATTCTTACCTCACCTTGGTTTATCTCACTTTAGAGACCGTTCCATTTGCAAAATGACAGGTAAGCCAAAGTGAGAATTTTACCTCCCCCCTTACCGATCAAGCACTACCTCCGGAGCATACTTACAAATGAGAAATTTTGATTACTTGGTGGTGGGGATAGATGCACGCCAAAAAGTGAGGTTGTACACTTTCTATCAAACAAAACAGAAGAAAATTAAAACAATATACCAATATATACAAAGACTTTGTTATCTATGTTCGTTAAGTCTTTAATCTTTGCGTTAAACCGTTGAGTGAAATGGTTAAACCACAGAACATAAGGGTTAAACTGTCAAGTGTCACTTTTAGAGAAAATAGGCTTACCAACCGTTCCTTTGGTCTATTTTATGTAAGATGAGTGCGCGTAAGTGGCCTCGCTTATCTCAGTTTTGCTTGGCTCACTTCAAAAATGAAAGGAAAGCACCTATTGTCAACCATATAATTAAGGTAATTTTACACTACGATTTTATACAGAATTTCTAATATTAAGCTCATCATCATAGTTCTCCCACCTCTAATCATTCTGCTACAACACGCCTGTGATTGGCTACTTTATTTTATTAATAACTAATTAATGGTGCGTCTGATCGAAAAACGGCAAAGACTGTTCGACTTAAAATCCCACCCTCTTACCGCCCCTTTTTTGCTGTCCTTGACTTTTGAGACACCCTGTATGACAAATAAACACAGTGTTAACATAACCTCACAATATCGTATATTTTTCTTCGGTTGGTAGCACAGAAATAAACAGCAAGTTGTCTTGCCATTGCCGACTGTAAAACAACATGCAATACGGCCTTGAAAACTTGATGGCAAGACAAATTGCTGCAAGAAGAATTGCCGGCTAAAATACGGCCTTTAGTCCAATCATCCGGGAGCGCTCTCATTGGTCCAATTATAATTCGAAAATTATGACATTTCAAAGTATCATAATATGATACTTATATATCATTTATACCTAGGTGTTTATATGTGTATTATGTTATTATATTGAAAGACGCTTTACCAACCAACAGTTCACAGAATTATTAAACAATATTATATCATTTTTTAATAAAAATAATTTCTTAAGTATAATTTATTTGGGCAGAATTTTGTAAATCTTAAATAAATATTTTATAAAATTATTTAGATTAAATTGGTAAAGTTAAATTTTTTAGTATTTAAAAATATTGTCAAGACATTTAAAATAAAAACACATAAAACTTTTTCTACCAAAATAGTTTAAAAACTTAAATTTTTTTAAACTCAAAATGATAATTACCATTATAATCAAACAATATTTTAAATTTAAAATGCAAATGTAAAACTTTAAGTTTAAAATGGGTATTATGTAATTAATACAATATATGAAAACACTGAATACCTTTTGACATAAGATATATATTAAAAAAAATATTTTTCCAAAGATAAAGAAAAAATATGCATTAGAAGTTTTTTATATTTTTGTGATACGCCACTGGTTACACACTGTGTTCTGTGAGTGCATATATATATATATATATATATATATATATATATATATACCAACCAACAAAGTGGGTGCGCGTTGCCAGTAACTGTTGTAAAAAATAAATAAAAACTTAATAAATACAAAAGTTTTATGCCCTTAAAGCTCTAATACCCTTCTGTATTTATTTACTCATCCATGCAATGAAAATTTAGTAACGACACAAAATTAATTATTTCAGTTTTTTTCTTTCTGTTTACTCAGATGAAATTAGGACAAGTTCACAGGTTAAACTTTAAACATTCAATTTGTGTAAATAAATCCAAAAGCACTGTTAATATATTACAATTTGAGCATATAAACTAAAATTTGAAAGAAATGCACTAGATTCTGTCATAAAAGTTGCCAGATATTTTTTGAATTTACCTTCATTACAAAAATGACATAATCAACAATTAATAAACGCCAAATTAACAATTTGCATTGTTGTATTTGTCATTTTTGTAATTAAGCTAAATTTAAACAAAATCTGGCAACTTTTTTACAGAATCTGGAAACGCTGGTTGTTACCAACTTAATAAATTAAATTAGGCAACCAGATCCAGATTAGCCTAAAGTTCCTAGTCGATCAGTGGCGTACTATTTGGTGGGATAAGGGTTATTATAAATTATTTTTTGTCTTTAGAATTTAGAACAAAATAAGTTTCAGGTGCTTCTTTATGGACCATGAGGAACTACCCATTTTAATATATTACATTAATTACATAACACCCTGTATTGGTTTTTAAAAATTGTAGTTTAAATATTTGAATTCAAAATTATTGGTGTAAATTTGTAAAAAGTCATTTAAATGAAAGTCGATAAATTTTTTATACAAAAATTCTCACATAACATTTAAATGTTAGTTTTAAATTTAAAAATATTCACATTACATTTAAATGTAAATCCATAATTTTTAATTCGCAAAGTGTAAACGCTGCTTTAGCTGACTGCATATGCTGCAGACTTCGCACTTTGTACGTTTCACTGACTATGGACTATGCCTTAAAATTGACAGCGTACGCCGTCCGCTGAAGCAACGCGTTGCAACGTTTACACTTTGTAAATTAAAAATTATCGACTTACATTTAAATGTAAAGTTATGAATTTTGAGTTAAAAAAGTGTGAATTTAAAATTGTTATGAATAAAAATGTTGGGTTTAAATTTATAGAGTCATTTAGAAAGAGACAGCGTACGCCGTCCGCTGAAGCAACGCGTTGCAACGTTTACACTTTGTAAATTAAAAATTATCGACTTACATTTAAATGTAAACTTATGAATTTTGAGTTAAAAAAGTGTGAATTTAAAATTGTTATGAATAAAAATGTTTGGTTTAAATTTGTAAAGAGTCATTTAAATGATGATTTAATCCAAAAATTATCACTTTAAAATTTAAAACTTATTTACATTTAAATGTAATGTGAGAAATTTTGTATTAAAAAGTTATCGACTATCATTTACAAACCCTTTACAAATTTAAACCGACAATTTTGTTGAATAAAATATTATTACTACAATTTTTAAAAATCAATATTTTCAAAACTTAAAGTTTTACAGTTGCATTTTATATTTAAAATTTGTTTTGACTAATAATTGTTTTAACTTAAAAAAAATTAACTTTATAAATTTCTGTTAAAACATCATTAAAGTGCTAAACTTTAATGTTCAAACTATTATCTAATAAATGCTAAAACGGCGTGCCATATCCGTCACTACTAAAGTGTTTCATTTAATACGACTATTTTTTTTTTCATGGAAAAAAATTACCTCAAAGTTTGATTCTAAGCACTTTTTTTTAAATTTCTATATCTGCCTGGTTTCATCATATTGTGGTTAATTGTTACTTACAGGGTATTTAACGCTTTTTAAAAGAGTCTATAAGAATTTTTCTCTAACTCGATTCACCTTGATGGTATCAGCTCTGAAAATCATTTTTTTTTCTTCTTTCACATATATTTAAAAATATTAAGAGAATGACTTGTCTTACCGAAAAATTTTAAAGGAAAAGTTGTAGAAAATGTAATTCTCTACAAAAAAGTCCTTACGTTTATATAGCTAAAGTTTACAAGATATTTTATAGTCATGAAATCGATTTTGACAAATTAATCTCAATAAAACACAAATTTTGAAATATTAAACTGCTCATATCTTGTAAACTGTGCACTTTTTCCTTTAAAAATTTTCGGTAAGACAAGCCATTCTCTTAATATTTTCAAAATATGTGAAAAAAGTAAAAAATAATGACTTTCAGAGCTGATAGTAATGACTTTCAGCCTGAATCGAGGTGAATCAATCAATCAATCAATCAATCAATCAATCAAGGTGAATCGAGTTAGAGAAAAATTCTTAAAACCTGGCAAAGATATACATATATAATATTATATGTATAATATTTTGAGTTTCGGTGAAAAAAATAGTTGTTTTAAATGAAACGCCCTAGTCACTACACATCCATTTTTGACGCCTAATGTTATTTCAAAATAATTTATTTACAACTCTTTTATATTTTTTTAATTATGATTGTCTTTATTTTAATAAGGAGAACGGAAAACAGAACTAAAAGGACCTGCTTTTTCAAAACTATACATTTTAAAATATTAATTGTTTCAACCTTTACTTGATGAAACTCCATATTAACTATTATGTAAATATAAAAATAACTATGTTTTGAAAGTTTCACGTAATTTATTAAATGTTGACAATATTATGTAACACAGGTAGATTTAGAATGAAAATTATTACCTAGAACACCAGTATTTTTGTTATAAATTTCGCACTAATATTAGTTTTAATACATTCTGAAGAAGCTACTGTGTAGCGAAACAATTGTCAACATTTAATAAATTACTTGAAACTTTCAAAACATAGTTATTTTTATATTTACATAGTATACATTTTAATGTATATTAAGGCTAGTATATTCTTTTTGTGTGGTATATTTACTTTCGACACTGAAAAATTGGTTCTCCCTCCTCATCACACTATTCCATTTTTTCTTTAGTCCCTTATAAAAAAGACCATATTTCATTACACTAGTTTACAGCCATGTCTCACTATGATTTTCTTGTGTAGTTTGGCTCACCAAACGCGAAAATCACACTTTTTTTTCATGGAAGCGTTTTCGAGATATGAATTTTCAATTGTTTTTTTTTAATTTTCTAAGATGTTTTGACGTTTTAGACTATACTTCGAGTTCTAATTGATCAATTTGACCAAACAAGCACTCAAATCAAAGGTAATTGAGCCCTCTACAACTTTCTCTTGTATAGTTTTGGCATCGGCTCAGTAGTTCGATACTGGCGATTTTATGAAGTTGAAAAAGTCCTTTTTTTTCCAAAAATCGAGGTCGAAAATTTACATATCTTTCTGGGAAATATAGAAATCGAAAAGATAAGTCCAGTTTGATTCATTTTACGTATAGATTATAGTTAAAAGAAAAAAATAAGCTGCTGTTGATAAAATCCATGGATAAATGGCGAAGACCAAAATTCAGTTTTTCGAACTCTCTACTTCTTTTACTCATTTTACACTTTTTATTAACTAAATAAAACCATTATAAAAATACCTTATTGAAATATCAAAAAATGTCACTATGCCAACACGAGAAACAAAAGAATTCACGTTTGCGGAGTCAGTCAAATTTAAACTTTGAATAATGTTTTCGGTGAAAAAAGTACGTAAAAAACTCAAAACATTCCAATCATGCACTTTAATTAGGTTTTCATTAAAGAATAAACATATTACAAAATAAAAGAAAAAAATTAAAATAAAAATCGTCATTGGTCTTCCACTAAAAAAAGGTGTAACTTCGCCATTTTTTCATGTATTTTTATCAATGTTAGCTTGTTTTTTTTTGTAAAAATGTTAGCTTCACGAAAAAAAAATCAAACTGGAGTTATTCGATTTAAACCTTTCCCAGGACGATATGTAAATTTTCGACCTCAACTTTTGCCATAAAAACGAAAAACGAAAGTTATTAAAATCGCTAGCGTCAAAATACTTATCCGATATCAAAAGTATGTAAAAGAAAGTTTAAATCGATCAATTAAATTTCAAGGTATTCTCAAAAAACGTCAAAACACCGAAAATTGAAAAAAAACAATTAAAAATTCATATTTCAAATACGCTTCCAAAAAAAATTGAGTGTGATTTTCGTCTTTAGTGGGTTAAAATACATAGGAAAATTATCATGGGATATGGTGGGCAGATTTTTTTCCCGTAAACTACTGATATTAATCAATCGTTTAAAACCATCTAAAAGATATTCCAGATCAAAGTTTGAAGAATTTATTAAATTTTTTTTATAATTTTCATTGAAAAATAATTATTGTCAATTAAGTATGGTATATTTTGTATGAAATTTAACACTTTAAAAAGATCTCATGTGTTTAATTGATATTCGTATCAGTAGGCGTTGGGATTCGGATACGAATATCTTCTCAACGGTTAGAGTAATCGCTTAAACACATTTGTCCTTTTTTGTAGAGCATTCAATTTCCTACAAAAATATGTATAAGGATTTCATTAACTGGTTGATTAATAATAAAATATGGTCTTTTTGATAAGGGACTAAAGGAAAATATTGTTTTTAGGTTCAGGATCGAGGGAGAAGGATAAGGAGAAGAAAGGTCAGAAGGGTGGCGGTAAAGATGACAAGGGAAGGTTGGAGAAGAAGAAGAAGAAAAAACGTGATGGGAGCCCAATGGGGCCCCCAGAAAAGGTGCCCGTCAAGTCTGACACGTTGCCGAAACCTATAACTGTAAGTAATTATTTTATATACAATAATCACTCACTAATATACATACTATACACAGGAATCCCCCCCTCAAAACTCCCCCACCCCAAACTCCCCCAACATGCTGCGTAAATTCGCCCAATCCCCCACCAACAGCCGCCCGATCTCTCTCAGCGGCAAACTAAGCCCGAACTTGGTCAAAACGTCCCTGAAACCCTCGTCGAGCCCCAAACACTCCCCCCTGCACATGTCGAGCAGCCCGAAGCACATTTCCGGCATCGGCAGCCCGAAACACGGTTCGAGCCCCAAACATGGCGGCACCAGCTCGGGCAAGCCGAGCATGAGCGCGCTAAAAAACGCGGCCAACTCCCCCTCGAGCAAAAACCCGGACAAAAAGTCCGTCTCGGACAAGTCCAGGGACAAGGATAAGAGCGGCAAGTCCATTTTTTCCAAGAGCGTCAAGTCCGGCGTTAAAGTGAAACCCCTGGACTTGAACGCAACGGAATCCATGCAGGATGACGTTTTGGCCAACGCTTTGGATCCCAAGTTGAATCCCAACCTCAACAGAAACAGAAAAGGATCTTTGTCCGCGATAGTAGACAAATTAAAGGTAAATGCGCAACATTGCGATACTACCGTAGATTTAAGTCAAAAGAGTACAAAATCCGAGAAGGATCGGACTTCCTCCAACAAAATTGACCCTAGTAAGCCTTTGGTGAAGTTGGGGGAGCCGAAAAACTCCGAGTACATGGTTAAATCATCGTCGGAGGGTATCAAAATTACCATCAACAAAACTAGAGGGAAAGAGAGCAAAAATTCCGGGACCAAATCCAGTTCTTCATCAAATAGCTCGTCGGGCACGGGGAGCCCAAAAATCCACACAGGGTTAAAACCGGGCGTTAACAGCGGCCCGGCGTCGAAAAAATCCCTGACCAAAGACCCCTTCCCGAAGAACAACCAACAAACAACAACCAACTCCAACGTGTTGAATTCTCAAAGCCAAAAGGCATCGAGTGCGACGATTAAAAATCACTACAATGTCGCCTCGCAGAGCAACAGCGCGAAAATGACATCGACTTCGTCTTCGAAGTCGGTTTCAAAGTCGACGGGCTCGCCGAAGATGGGCTCGTCGGGCTCCGGCGATTTTAATCGGTCGAAGGATCGCGCCAAGTCGTCGCTGAGCAAGTCGGGCTCGGAGAAGTCCATTTTTTCGATTAAGGATCGCGGTAAAGGGAGTCCGACGCCCGGCGGCAAGGACGATGACGTTTTCAAGATGGGACAGGCGAATCCCTACACCCCAATGTTAATGGAAGGTGAGTTTTTTTTACAGTATTTACAATTTTTTATTTGACTTTTGTGCTTTTTAATTTTTTTTGTGACTATTTTTAGACTTACTTTTGGGCCATTCCACGCGTAACGGATAGGACAGTTGCCGTGTTTTTATTTACAAAATAATATTGTTCTATTATATTACTAATGTCAAATTTTTATAAATAGTTCTAAACAAAAGCTGTTTAACAAGGTTTTTATTTGGCAAAATTAGGTATCGTGATTGACTGTTTAATTCCTTAAAAATTAATAATTTAAAGCGTAACGGGCGGGACTATTACAAAGTCCCGTCCGTTACGCTTTAAATTATTAGTTTTTAAGGAATTAAACAGTCAACCACGATACCTAATTTTTACAAATAAAAACCTTGTTAAACAGCTTTAGTTTAGAACTATTTATAAAAATTTGACATTGGTAATATAATAGAACAATATTATTTTGTAAATAAAAACACGGCAACTGTCCTATCCGTTAAGCGTGGAATGGCCCTTTAACTTTACTTTCTATTTCTGAATTACCGATCTTTTAAGAAATGTTCTGTATTTATTTAATATCGCTTTGCCTTTTTGACTTTTTTTTTACTGCTTTTACAATTCTTATTTATTTTAGGAATACTTTTTTGGACTGCTTTTCCATGAAATTTTTTTTTAAATGACTTTGGTTTTAGACATTCTTGGACTTTTTTATTTTTTTAATTGTTTTTAATTTATTTTATTACTTTTTTGACTTTTGACCCAAATCTTCTGGAAAATTCACTTTTTTACTCCTATTTTGACTTTGTACTTTTTAGACTTTTTAAAGTTTTTTTGACTTTTTACTTTTGTCACCGACCTTTTAGGAAATTTTCTGTGGTTTATTTCATATGGCTTTTTTGACTTTGCGGCCATCTCAAGCTTACGGACGGGACAAATTTACAATTTTTTTTATATAAACAGGTTTTTAATTCGTGCGTTTCGCTCGTTTGTCTTAATTTTTTGTTTTATTTGCCTTTTTAAATTTTTTTGGACTAAAATTATATTTCTAAATCACAATTATACAAAAAAGTTTATATACAAAAGTGCTCTTTTAGTTCCACCCTTACTTTTTAAGAAGTCCCATAAGCCAACTGAATGGCTTGTGCGGGTTAGGGGTAGGAACGGACCGCGGGCTTAAAGTCCCCTCCGAAGGACTATTACACAATAGGACAACACAAATAAATAGCCATACCCCTGGTGGGATTCGAACCCACGACCTCCGGCTTGTAGTCAGCAGCAGCACTAACCACTAGACCACCATTCCTTTTTTATTTGTTTTTTACGTTTTACACTTATATTGACTTTGTTTTAGACATTATTGGACTTTTAACCCATACCTTTTGGAAAATTTTTATTATTATTTTTATTATTATTATTATTAGTTTTAGACATTATTGGACTTTTTTATTTTTGATTTGATTTTTTTTTTAATTTTAATTTAATTTACGATGTGGCTCCCGTCCCGAGGCGGGACTTAAGTTCAGTCCCGATTGACGTCACACACTGTAAATCCGTTTTTATTCCCCGAGATTTTATAATTTGTGTCAAGCTCGATGGCTTAGATGGTAGGGCGGTCGCTTGGCATACGAGAGGTACCGGGTTCGATCCACAGACCACCAAAACAAATGGACGGCGCATTGCCATTCAATAACAATGATTTGTTTGCTGTCAACAAACGGTCACAGTCTAAGCGTCAAATTGGAGATAGAATTTTATGTTTTATTCCAGTGAAGTCAACAAACCGTCACATTCTAAGCGTTAAATTTTAAGGTTATAATTCTAAGGTTAAATCGGATAGAATTTTATGTTTTCTTCCAGTGACGTCAACAAACCGTCACATTCTAAGCGTTAAATTCTTAGGTTAGAATTCTAAGGTTAAATTGGATAGAATTTTATGTTTTCTTCCTGTGACGTATTGGGATTAAAAAAAATAATAAGTAAGTAGGTACTTACAAACGATATTTCCATGTATTGTTATTTTTAGTAAAAAATAATGTATTTAAACTCCATAATTAACTTAAACACGATAGAAATACACAAACGAAAACACAAAACAACCATAGATAACAAAGCTGTCAACCTTTTTCTATGCTGTCAAATATGACTAATTTACCAACGTTGTTAATATTTAATTTTAATAATTATTAAATTATTTACTTTCTTTAAATAGAGAAAAATATCTAAAGACAATGATGAACAAATCCTTTTTATAATTTTTTTATTATTCAAACGAGTTACTGGTAATTATTACTGTTCATTATGTTATGATGTACGTCCAAAAAGGCGTGTAATATATACTTCTGACAACGTTGGAACCTGTGTTTCTTTCGACGGTGTTTAGAATGTGAAACTATGCTTTACTCGCTTTTTAAACGTAAACAAATCCGTCCATTTGTTTTGGTGGTCTGTGGTTCGATTCCACTAGAAGTTGTCAAACTTTTTTTATTTTTTTTATTTTATAAATTTGTTGTTTCTTTGTTAAAAAGTGTTTTATTTTTATCGTAACATAAATTTGCCCATTTTAGTTGGGTTTTTTGCTCAATGGGGCGGGGTCGGTTGGGTTGTGTTGTTGAGTTTGGGTTGGTTTGGTTTTATGACGTAACTAAAGTGCCCTTAACATGTATACAGGTACAATTTATTATTATTATTATTTTATTATAACATAACAAATCTTAAAATTATGACGTCAATCGGGACAGAACTTAAGTCCCGCCTCGGGACGGGAGCCACAGCGTTTAATTTATTACTTTTTTGACTTTTATCCCATACCTTTTGGAAAATTTTTATTATTTGAGGAGGTCCATTCCAAAACTTGGCTTATCGCTTTTTTGACTTTTTTTACTGCTTTTACAATTTTTTCCTTTTTTATTTGTTTTTTTTACATTTTTATTTACTTATATTAACTTTGTTTTAGACAATTTTGGCCTTTTTTATTTTTGATTTGATTTTTTTAAATTTAATTGAAATTAAATAATTTATTACATTTTTGACCTTTTTTTATTTTAATATCGACCTTTTGGGAAAATTTTTATTATTTATTTAATATTGGTCTTTAACTTATTTTGTTTTTATTTTACTCTTTTGGACCTTTTTTATGTATTTAAAAAAATTGTATTATTTGCCTTTTTAAATTTATTTGGACATTTTGTACACATTTTTAAATTTGACTTTTGGACTTTTAATTTCTTGTTTACTTTTTTTTTATTCTACATAATGTTTCTTATCGCTCTTTTGACTTTTTTATTTATTTTGACTATTTTTAGACTTATGTATTTTACTTTGAACTTTTTTTGACTTTTGTTACTACTTTTTTTACTTTTTAGACTTAAATAATATTCCTGAATCACCTTTTAGAAAGACTTTTGGACTGCTTTTATATTAATTTTTTTTTGTAATTTTTTAACTTTTGATTTTAGTTTTATTCATTGTTTTAAATTTATTTTATTACTTTTTTTTACTTTTGAGGCAAAACTTTTGAAATTTTTTTTAATATTTATTTAATATCACTTTTTTTAATTTTTTGACTCTTATTTTGACTGTACTTTTTAGTATTATTTTACTTTTGGCACCGCCTTTTTAGGAAATTTTTTATAATTTATTTCCTATTGTTTTTTTGACTGTGACTTAATTTTTTGTTATATTTGCCTTTTTAAGTTTTTTTGGACTTCACATTTTTTTATTCGACTTCTTACAATTTTTTTTACTACTTACTTTTTACTTTTTTAACTTTAATAATATTTCTGAACCACCAGTCTTTTAGGAAATTATCTATTATTTATTTAATATCGCTATTTTTACTTTCGGCTTTTTTTATTTTTTTTGTACTATTTTTAAACATACATACATAATATTTCATATACATATATACATGTATATATATTACCGATCTCTTAGGAAATGTTCTGTTATTTATTTGACTTTTTTACTGCTTTTACACTTATTTTTACATTTTCTACATAAATTGACTTTGTTTTAGACATTTTTTATTTTTGATTTTACATTTTTTAATTGTTTTATATTTATTTTATTATATACTCTATACCCTGAAAAGGTCATAATATTGTAAAACTCACCTTATTCCGTTTAAAATTTTATTTACAAATTGACTGTTGTTCCAAAACTATTGCTTATATCATGTCAGAACTCGGCTTATACGTATGTAATTTTAAATTATTTCAAATTGAAGCTATACCTTCTTAATCAAGGTATATAAATGTTACACTTATGCCTATATATTTCATTTAAAGTATTCTGTTGGCCTGATATGCGTGTAAGGTTTTTTACATTTTGCTCAAAATCACCTAACATGGATAAGCCCAGTTTTGGAATGCATCTCTTCATTTATTAATTATTACTTTTTTATTTGGATTTTTTAGACATTTTAAGATTTTCTTGACTTATGACTTTATTTCATATTGCTTTGACTTGGTGACTTTAAATTTTTTGTTTTATTTGCATTTTGAATGTTTTTGGACTGATCCACTTTCTCCTAATTAAATTATTTTTCTATGGTATTTTTTGAAAACGTGGAAAAAGTATAATATAAAACACGTTTGCATATTCCGTCATTTTTTTATATGACTTCTTTCAATTTTTTGTTTAACTTTTTTTAAATGTACATAATATTTCTGAACTACCGGTCTTTAAGAAAATTATCTGTTATTTACTTAATATAGCTTTTTAATTTTTGGACTTAAAAATGTTTTATACACTTGTCTTGACTTTGTTTTAGGTTTTTTTATTCGACTTTTATTATTTTATTTATTTGAATTTACATTTGTATTATTACTTTTTTTAATATTTTTTACTTTTGACCAGGGTTGGAAAAAAACAGGATTTTTTAAATAAAACCCAACCCATTGGCAGGGGAACCCTCGAAGTTTAAAATTACGTTTTGTTTGGTCAATGGTTTGATTGTTTCTCAGTTTTAGAGTGTACTGATATTGATTAAATACTACACCTTTTCCAGTTGATATTCAGAAAGTAGCAATTGATATTCAGAAAGCAGCAAGTGATTTTCAGATGTTGCAAATGAAATTCAGAAAATAGCAAATGTTATTCAGATATTTCAAATGATATTCAGAAAGTAGCTGATGTAATTCAGATATTGCAAATGATATTCAGACAGTAGCAATTGATATTCAGAAATTACAAATAGTATTCAGACAGTAACAATTGAAATTCAGAAATTAACAAATGATAACATTTTCATACTTCATTTTTATTATTTTCTAAAATCTCAATTTAATGTATTTCTTTGTATATGTATATTAATATTGCAATTGCTTTGTTTCCATGGAATTGACAATAGTAAACAAATTTATTACTATTTAAGTAGGTATATTTGTCATAATTGTCAACTCATTGCAAGTAAGGACCGAATTTTCTTCGTTTGTACTTTATATAAATTTCATTTATTTAGTTAATAAAGATAACGTGTACTTTCATTCATCATCGACTTACTGTATGCAACCCACTGTTCCTGAAACAATTGCTGCGGCTGAATTACATTTGATTTAATCTGAAAAACATTTTCTACTTTCTGAATTACAATTGCAAGTTTCTGAAAATCAATTGAGTTATCTGAATTGCAATTGCTACTTTCTTAAATTCAATTGTGTTATCTGAATTACATATGCTACTCTCTTAAAATCAATTGGAATAGCTGAATTACAATTCCTACTATCTGAATATCAACTGGAATAACTGAATTACAATTCCTACTTTCTGAATATCAACTGGAAAAGGTGTAGTGTTTTTACATACATAAAAATGTAATGTTTTATATTTTTACAAAATTAATTAAATTTAGGTATGATGAAACAACTGGACAAAAACTTCCAAATCCCCAAACTCTCGGCGCGCTCTTCGGAGGAGAAAAAATCGTCCTCTCTGCCTAAAGAGCCGACGAACAATTTAGCGAACAACAGCGTTGCCCGGAACGCGATCGAGTCCGCGAAAATTTTCGACGTCGCACTACCGAAATACCCGCTGACGATACCCAGCAAAATGTTCGAAAACGCGATGGACCAGCAGCAGAAGAGGAACAACGTCAACATCAACCTGAACATAGGCGCGAGCGGCCTGAAGGCCGACGACATAGACGAGAAGAAGAAGGAAATCGGGCCCAGCTTGTCCACTTCTCAAGGTAAGGCTGCTTTTTTGTACGAGGTTTTTAGCATGGTACAAGAAAACAAGGTATGTTCTTCAGTAGGACGAATTTTGGTTCACTTTGCGCACCACCCAGTTACCGCCATCTTAGTTCATTGCCGCCTTTGAATTTAAATGACTTTTTAAATTTAAATATTATTCTCTTATGAAATTCATACAAATTTCTATCAAATTATTTGATTTTTAGATTAAATTGTCGAATAATTTAAAGATCACAGGTAACAAAAGATCTAAGTCACAATATTCACATTTCAAGAAAATATTATTAATGAAAAAAACTATTTTATATGGTTTTTCAATCAAATAAAATGGGGTTTCAAATAAAATATCTTGTTTTAAATAAGTCAAATGTTTTTAATAAAATATCCTGTTTTAAAGCAAATATAAAGAATGAAATAAAAAGTGTCAAGTTACAACATTAACATTGTAAGAAAAATGTAAACGACATATTTTTCTAAATTTATTTATTACAAAATTGTATTGAGGTACAAATAATTGCAAATTAGGTTTAGTTGCCAAATAAAAACCCTTAATTGGCCACCATGAAGCCATGAATAAAACAAACTATACTTTTGAAAAATATTATATTATGGTAATGTTTCAATCCCAGGCCATTTCATTACACTGTAGGGAGGTGAAAATATCACAGCTAAACGCTCGGACAAATTTGAAACTGAAGTGTGGGTCCAGCCAAATTAATTTTTTTTTTAAATATCTTTGAATTTAAACGAAAAACGGATTTGGAATCTACGACCTAAAATTAAGTTTACGTGTCCGAGCGTTTAGCTGTGATATTTCAAGAGTTGAAAATTTACCTACAGTGTTATCAGCAGCATGCTGCAATTTGAGTTTCTGTTATGGACTGTCCTTGAAGATCATTAGCTTCCTTGTCTCGGCACATTTCCTGCACAAAGCAAAAATAAAGATTTAATTTTGTTTTTCAAATGTTATTTTAATTTCTTACACTGTAGTAATTGAGTTTCTATATATCGTCGGTCTTATGACATAAGGCCCTATCTCGAGATAGGGCCAAAATGTGCTAAGGTCAGCGTTAGTTTCTATCTAGTGTATACTTTGTTTTGGCCAAAGGTCACATCTTAAAATTCATTTATTTTTTTATAAAACTTACAAAACACATGGCCCTATCTTGAATTTTGACACGTACTATTATAGCATAAAGGCCAATCTTAAGATAGGGCTTTTTGTTGTGATAATTTTGCCACTTGCGAGGGAATCTTGACTTAGGGCCTACCGCTATTGAAACGAAAAAGAAACTTAAACATCAGCGTCCGATGTTCCTTTTTCTTGCTTTAATTGTAAAGGTTAGAATAAGACCAAAAATCAAATAGTTTCAACATATTATATACGTGTAGCGTGTTGTGATCGGACGCATGCACATTGCGGAAAGACTGGTAAATTTGTTTGTAAATATTATTTTTTGTTGTATTTCTTATAGTTTTAGAGTGTTGATTAAACCTTTAATATTATAATTCGCGCATTTTAGTTTCGCTATTACTGTGTATAGTTTTTGTGTCTGAAAAATGGATGTGCTTGTGAAATGGGATGATGGAACTGTCAATTGCGTAAACACTAGATGCCTGAAAACCATTAAAAAACGTGGTAAATATAAAATTGGAGCAAGAGTGAAGATGTTTTTTGATGAAAAATGGTATTTTGGCAGTATAACAATGGTAGAAAATACAGCAAATGTTTTAACGACTGAAGACCAATCAGATTCTTCGGTTAATGAACCTCTGTCTAAGAAAATTGTTCTTCAACCTAATTACAAACAAGTTAGTTCTTCCAGTAGCATAAGCGTGCATCAAAACAATAACATTTTAATAGGTCCATTTAATAGAGAACCTATTTTAACAGAACTTCTTCCCTTGATACCTGATAACTTTGGGGTTGAAAATAATTGTGAAATTAATCTATCAAAGGTTATAAGCAAAATACCTGACGAAAATAATTTACCTACCACTTCTCATCATGAGAATAAGGAAAAAGATAAGCAAAAGTCAGAAGATTCGAACATGTCAGATTCCTATGATGTACGTGAACCTTATAGCGATATTGACCTAAACGACAGAGAAGATCCAACTTACCACATACAAAGTTGTGAAGTTCCTCGATGCAAGCAAGAAGTATTCAGTTCATGTCACCTGTGCAAAATATTGTTATGTTGGGATCATTTTCAAGAAGAATTGCCAAATTGTGTTAGTCATCTTCATCTAGACTCTGATGAAGATGTCATTCGAAAACGACCAATACAAAAAACCCCTGTTAACAAAATAATAAAAATCCCAGAAGACTTTTTCGTAGAAGGTTCACCAAAAGAATATCAAGAAGTGAAGCAGCCTAGAAAAAATAAAAGAAAGATTGCCAAAGTTTTAAAAAATAGTGGAAAAGAGTATGTTTCCGTGAAAACTAAGAAGACTATCCCAGAACGTAAATTAGGACCGGCTTGTAATGCAGAATGGTGTAAAAAAGGCGGAAGAGAATGCAGAAAGTTTAGCGAGGAAATACGGCAGGCTATATTTTCGGATTTTTATAATTTAGCTGATTTGCAATTACAACGAGAATTTATTGTTCGATTCGTAGAACAAACACCAAAAAAGTCGAATACAAAACCAGATGACAACTCTCGACGAACGTACACGAAAACTTTTTTCCTTCCATGTAATGGTGAACGAAGTAAGGTTTGCCGTAAGATGTTTATTAATACTCTTGATATAGGTGAAAAACGATTGCGGAATACTGTAAAAAAAAATCAAAGCACCGGCGTTGTTGAAAAAGATAAACGCGGTGGTCGCGATAAGATATCCGCTCTTAAAGATAAGGCTCTTAGAGACACTATAACCAGTCACATTAATAAATTCCCACGTGTTGAGTCTCACTATTGTCGCAAAGGTAGTTCCAGAGAATATTTACATGGGGATTTAACTTTAAGAAAGATGTACGGGATGTTTTTAAATGAGTTGCCGGTCACCAAAAGCAAACCAAGTTTTTCATTATACAGGGTAATCTTCAAAAAAATGAATTTGTCATTCCATAAGCCTAAAAAAGACCAGTGTGGTGTTTGCAGAGTTTTTCACGAAGGAAGTGAAGAAGAAAAAACAAAAATAAAAGACATTTACGATAAACACATAGTGGAGAAAGAAGCAGTCCGTAAACTAAAAGACAATTTTAAAAGTGCTGCTAAAAATGATCCAAAAATGTTTTGTGCTTGTTTCGATTTGCAACAGGTGATATCTTTGCCTATTTCTAATGACAATGCCATTTTTTATAAACGTAGGTTGTCTGTTTTTAACTTTACGATTTATGACTTAGCCAACCGTGACTGTTATTGTCTGACTTGGGATGAATGTTCTAGTGGCCGCGGATCTTCTGAAATTGCCACCGCGGTTATAATGATCTTAAAATACGATGAAGAAAAATATGTTTCTTCTGCCCAATTGTTTTCAGATGGCTGTGGCGGGCAAAATAAAAATTCGATTATGGCAACTGCTCTTTTATATACGGTTTTGCAATCAAAACACCTGGCGGAAATAAGTCTTAGATTTTTTTCGCCTAACCATGGGCAGAGTGAAGGAGACTCTGCCCATAGTGCAATTACACACGCTATTAAAAAAGCTGGAGATTTGTTCACTCCAAGTCAATTAGTACCAGTATTTCGGTTGGCAAGGCAAAACAACCCTTATAAGGTTTACCAATTAAATTATGATGACTTTTTGGATTATAAAAAGTTAAGCGAAGATCTAAGAATCAAATCTATAAAAAAAGATGATGCCGGAAATGAATTTAAATGGTCAGATATATTTGAATTTTTTGTAAAAAAGGAAAACCCTGATAAAATATTTTTTAAAACTAGCCACGTAGACAAACAATACCGTTCAATGTCTTTAAAAAGAGAAAACAAGTTACATTTTTTGACAATCAAAAAATTAAATAAAAAACAAAGGTCCATATCAATGTTAAAGTATGAAAATCTAATATCCCTTTGTTCTGGTCTTAAACCTGTTATTTCTTCGCCTGAAAATAAATTATTTTACCGCTCATTACCACATTCTCAAAATTAAAGTTTTTTATTACATATTTAAATTTACTGTTATTTAAATTTTGTTGAGACAAATTTAAGTTTTATTTTATGTATTATGTTATAAATGAACTTAAGTTCATGTTATGTTTTTGATTGAAAATAATGTTTATCAGTTATTTCTTTACTGTCCGGAGTTTTATTTATTTTATTAAATTAGATATTTTGAGATTTGCTTTTTATTTAAAAAAAACATAAGTATAAACGGCCTTTTCATCTCTACTTTACGAGGCCTATCTCGACCAAAATACACCAATAAAAATGTTTAGTGTTATTACAAAAGGCCCTATCTCACAAAAACCATTATTACAACAAAATGTTAATTATTATGTTGAAATTTGGTATCTGACAAAAAACTCACATGATTTGTTTTTCATAATTGCAAAAAATAGGATTGAAAATCGTTAAAGTTCTTTATGTTCTGTTAACTTAAATATATCAGTTTTTTTTAAATTGCTCTCCTGAAAAGTTGTAAAAATCGAGATAGGGCCTTATGTCATAAGACCGACGATATTATGCTTCCTGGTTTTGTCCTATTTCTTGTACACTTCAAAAATAACTATGATTTATATTGTTTTTTCCAATTTTATTTAAATTTGTTACAAAGTACTTGATTTCTATTTTGATAGATAAGCTGTTAAGTGTAAAGTTGAAACCCTATCCACCTTTAAAGACTTTTTTATGGGAATGCATTTTGTAGGTTTTTTTGATCCAATTTTTCTTATAGCAACTATCTTCAAAGTAAATGGAAGAAATACAAGCTACAAAACAAACTAAAATATTACCCTAAATTATTTTTTTATTTATATAAAAACTACCTCTAAAAAAACTACTGCTATTTAATTGTTTTTAAAATAAATCTAGTTACTATTCTTAACATCAATTTTTTCAAGGAAATGTATTGGATTTTCAGTTTTTTTTCGTTTGCCATTGTTTTACAGATTTTCATTTGGTAGGTAGACATTTTTTACATTTACAAAACTTTAAAAAATATAGAGTGGTGGAAACAGATGCGCAAGAACATACCTTGTTTTCTAGTACCATGGTTTTTAGGAGGTGGTGCAAATATCCCCAAATTGAAAGAAGGGGATATGTAACATATCCTTTTTTGTTTTTAGGGGCATCCAATTGACCAGAGGCCTCCACCACGAATTATCGTTTACTTATGGAAAAATTCATGAAAATTTGTGAAAACTTCCACGCACTTAATACTTAATATTTCAACTTTGACTTGCCAACTAAATTTAGTGTAATTTTTGGTGGAAAACGCAAACTTACTAAAAAGTATTCTTAAACTTGGGAATTGAAAGTTATCTGAAATATTTATGTGATCTCAGATACTTTTTAACTCCTTATTATTTTTTTAAATCAAATGATATGCTTAAAATATCATTTAACTTAATGTACATAAGCAAATGTAAATATGTATTTAATAGTCTACGTCATGTTATAGATGCATAAAATTAGTATTAAGGCAATATTTTAGAGTTTTTTTTAGTAAGTTACTTGTAAATAATTCTATTTTTCTTCAGTTATAAAGTTTTTTAGCGTATTATCTTTATTCATTTTATACTGTAAATAAATCAGTTTTAATTCGAGTTCCTGTGTTTTATTTAAGAATACCCATTAATAATTATTTTTTTCCTAGGCCCTGAAATTACCTATAAAATACTTTTATCCCAAAAAAATCTCTGGTGAACAAAAAAAATCATAAAAACAAAAAAACGAAGCAACATTTTTTTATTAAATTAATAATAATATATAATAATTATTATTAAAAACAAAAAAATTAATTGTAGACAGGCAACCCAAATTACAATGGTAATAAAATTGATATGTATATATTATATATATATGTTTATATAAGATGTTGAATTATTTATTTATTGTAATTTTTCTGTGTGCAATATTTTTGTGACACATTATTAATTAACTTATTTCTTCTACAATTAAAAAGTAAGACGTTAAAGCGTTGAGTGAAGAAGTCAATGGTAAAAGTAAATGACACAATTAATTTGGCGCTGCGAAAGTGCGACCGAAAGTAGCAACTGCAGTAAAGTCTATTCAAATCCAAGCTGGACTAAATGTAAACACAATCCTCCGAATCGACCAATATGAGCTCACAGTCCGAGTCACACCATCAGAATCGACCAATAGAAACGAGTTATTACGCGTCTGGGCGTTTTTGTTTAGTCCAGCTTGGATTTGAATAGACTTTAGTTCAAGTGGTAGATATGTTTAATTAAATCTACGTCATATAATTATACCACAAAACACAATACAAAGCGATATGTACGCTTCAAACATAGAAAAAGGAACAAAACCCTAATATCTCCGCATATTGGCGCCAAAGTTGACGTACTTATATAAATTACGCACAAATATGCATTTGAACTACTGCAGTTGCCACTTCCTGCCGCATTCCCAGAGCGCCAAATTAATAATTATTTTATTTGTAGACATACAATTAATTAGGTATATAATTTTATGTATACAGGGTGATCCCCTATAATGTCGCCCCCCCGTAACTTTTTTATTTAGTGTCCCAAAAAATTTAAAAGTGGTTATGTAGGTAGTAAAAAATACTTTTTTCTACTTATAAAGAAAATTGGAAAATTGATCAGTATACAGGGAAAAACAAAAAGTTTCTTTTTTTTCAATAATTGATCAATTATTGATCACCCTAATGTATTTATTTTTCGATTCCTTGTAAAATTCTGAGCATAATTCATATAACAAACCATATGGTATATATATACCTAAATTCAACCGTTTCTGAAATATTTAAATTATTTTTAAGATAATAAGTTGAAATAGTTTGTCTTTCTCTGTTTGAGGACGCCATTTTTACTTATTTAACAACAGAGCTGCAAGCTCTCAGAAAACTTAAATCGTTTTTTTGATTTAAATCGTTTTAATGACTTAAGTCATTTGGTAATAAGTCATTTCTCTAAAACTGACTTAAGACTTAAAATTTAAGTAAATTTCAAAATGATTTGTGACTTAAATATTTTTTTCAAAATAGAAAAAACTTAAGTCATTTATAAATCAGTACATACGATTTAAGTCAGATAGAAACGATTTAAGTCAAAAAAAGATTTAAGTCTTTTTGAAAAAGATTTAAGTCTTTTTGAAAAAGATTTAAGTCTTTTTGAAAAAGATTTAAGTCTTTTTGAAAAAGATTTAAGTCTTTTTAGAAAATATTTAAGTCAGATTTTTCATATATTTTTTATAAATTTTTAACAGCGGCATTTTCTTTTGAACTGCCAGGGGTTCACGCGGCAGCAGATCAAAAACTCCTTTAATTTCCTACCTACAATTTTTACCGCTAGAGGATAAAAAAACCGCCGCGGTAAAGTTAGCTTTTTGAAACCGTTTGACGGCTACATTAAGAAATGTCCTGTCTAAAATTAATTAAAAAAAGTGGGGATTTATAATTTTGTTATTTTGTTTGCCAACATTCGTCATGTTCGTGCGTAGTTATGTCTAATTTGTGATTATTAGTGCAAAGTGAAAACAATCTGAGCGGTCGTGAATCGAGATTTTGGAACTTCCCATCATTACTTCCTTAAGGGAGGAATATTTTTTTTCTAGATGGATGTTGAACCAGCTAACAAAAGTTAACAAAACAAACAGTTATCAGTTTTTGAAATACAGCGATTTTAAGAAAAATGCTTATCTATTTTAACAGAGTTTAAATCTATTACCGTTTAGAAGTTACCCATTTATGTATATAAAAAAGTAGCCTCCCTGTATGTCTACTCTACTAAAAAAGGTGGTTTAAGTTTTTATTTTTATTGTCTAATATATACTCAAAAATGTGTTTTAAGTTTTTATTTTGTTTGTAAGTGTTCTGAAAATAAATCGTTTTAAATTCTTAACATAGTGGTTTATTATCATCTGTATCTACAATAGATTAATAATATCAGTATCATTAATACCATAAAATTATTATTAACATTTAAAAAATCGTTGTATTGTAATTATTTTGATTTTATTGACTTAACTCTTAGATCACGATTTATAAATCTATATTTTATATATATATAAGTCTATATTTTTTATTTATAAATAAAAAATATAGACTTAAGTCATAAAAACGACTTAATAAAGGAATTAAGTCATAAGATGACTTAAATCACTTTATATTGATTTAAGAATTTGCGAAAATGACTTGGCTTGAAAGAAAATGATTTAATTCAAAGACTTACTACTTAAATCATTTGAACTTTATCTTAGAATTGACTTAAGATTTAAATCATTTTGATTTTAGAATTGACTTAAGACTTAAGATTTAAGTCTTTTTAAAACTGACTTGTTGCAGCTCTGTTTAACAAGACATATCGACATAATTCTTCTTCTTGATTTCTAACAGTTTAAAAAAATATTTAAGTAATGATAACATTTCAAATGCGAATATTTCAGAATCAGTTGAATTTAGGTACCTATATGGTTTGTTATATGAATTATGCTTAGAATTTTACAAGGAATCGAAAAATAAATTCATATATAGGGTGATCCATAAAAAAAAATAATCTTTTTGTTTTTTCCTGTATATTGATCAAATTTCCATTTTTTTATACGTGGAAAAAAGTATTTTATAGTACCTACCTACATACATAGCCACACTTTTAAATTTTTTGGGACACTTAAAATAAAAAAGTTAAAGGGGGGCGACTAGAGATGGGAATCGGAAAGTTTCCATTTTAAGGAAACTTTCCGTTTTGGAAAGTTTCCAATTGGGAATTTATTTTCATTTTGAATGTTTCTTTTAAGCTACCGAAAACATTCCTTGGAAACATTCCTTGGAAACTTTCCTTGTTTTTTTCATTTAAATGTCAATTGTTTAACCGCTGATTTTCGTTAAGGCCATGATACAAGGCCAAGAAACTTTGAATAATAATTTAATGTGTGTTAATTTAAAGCAGAAGAAGAAGTATAAATAATGTAAGTTATGTTACATAACCTCAATGAAGCCGGATTATTCATCATCACAAAAAACTTAAAAAAAAAAGGTAAACAAAATAAAAACAATAAACAGAGTTAAAATTATTCTTACATTTTTGTTGTTTATTTATAGGCATAGCACAATGCCAAGAAAAAAATATAGTGTTTGGAATTATTTTTTACTTTACTTTTTACTTTTCAATATTCATGTAAATTTGTTACTTTGTCCCTTTTAATTTTTTTTACGTAATATCTAGGATTTACTAGCAGTGAATTTCTAATAGTAAATATTTTATTTTTATTTTGTAGGTTTCAGTATACAATAGGAATATTCCAAAGTAAAAGATACTAAAAATAGTATTGCAGTTACATTCTTATAAACATTTTTTTTATTTTTTTTCTTAATAAAATTTGACAAAAAGTTAATGTGTTATATATTTTTGCAAATCCCTGGCATAAAAAAATATATTTTCGCAATAAAAATTTTTTTTTTAAACTTTCGGAAAATTTCGGGAATTTTCGATGGAAAGTTTCCGGGAATTTTCGTCAAATGGGAATTTTCCCATCTCTAGGGGCGACATTATAGGGGATCACCATGTATACATAAAATTATTTCTATAATTTTTATTATGCAGTCATAATTTTAATTGTAATATAAAAATTCATTGAATTAATCTTACATATGTGTAAATAATAATTGACGTGTTATAAAAAAAATGCAAATTAAAAAATAATAGAATAAAATAAAATAGTTTAAAAATCTTGTTTCAAAATACACAATCATTCCAATATAAATTGCAATGTAAAAAAAATAAAGAACCTCATACGAAATAAAAATTTTTATTTTGTTCATTAATGAACCAAATTTTAATGATGCAAATATTAATTTATCTAACAAAATAGTACCTACATAATATTTTTAAACATTTTACATATGTAGTATATACTTACGTATGTAAAATGTTTAAAAATATTCGTCGGGTAAAATATTTAAATTTGACAAAAAAATGCGTATTAAATTAAAATAATTCCACATTTTTCCTCTGTTTCCATTAAATTTGAATTAAATTCATGCTAGACATAATTTTATTTTATAATTATTATTATGTCAGACATAACCCAAGCAGCAATTTGTGCCCAAACTTAAGTTTGGGCACAAATTGCTGCTTGGGTTTTGTCTGCACGACACTTTTTGTTTCCAAATTGTTTCGACACAAATCGGAAAACTTATGTCTAAATGGAAACTGTGTCCATTCTTCAAATTTGTGGTTGCTTTGGGTCGACACCTTTTAAACTAATTGTGTCCAAAAAAAGTACAGGTCTAAGTAGAATTATTTCAGAAATATGTGCCCAAGTTGCGTCGCTTTTGTGCCCTCTTGGAAACAGTAACACAATTTAGACTCATTAGGGTCGACACTATCGACTCAATCTTTCCATATTGTACCTTATCAATCTGTTTCCATTTTATTACCAAATTGAGTCAAGTGGACGCAAAAGTTTCCATTTAGCTGCATTTTAGATTCATGGTGTCTGATTTGTTTCAAAAA